TTTTTATGGAATGATCGAGAGAAAAGAAAAAGGTGGAATTGCATGCATGATATAAAATCAATGGTAGGAAAACACTGTTTATTCAATCTTTAAAATAATAATCAAAATATTCAATGCAATAGCTTTTATGGCAATTTTTTTCAAATGCTATTTAAAGACCATTATCGACATTTGTTTGCATATGCTCAAACTATTTACAGAATTAGCGATAAAGACATAGCTTTGAAATACTTCTATGGTATACAAGAATAAGAAAACAGTTTTAGGCTAGATGGTAACTTCTGAAGAATCAGTAAAACAGAAACATACGGTTTACCACAACATGCAGAGACAGGCATTTATCTGTGTCACCACATTATGCTATTGCTGTTAACTTTTTCAATCGCGTGTTGCTTATTTTGCATCATTCACCTGAAGTATTTTATACATTTTAACTTGTACATGTTGATAGCTTAATCGATTTTAAACAAGTTAATGTCATAAAATTGAATGATAGAGGCTAGCAGATATTTTGAATGTTTGGCTCAGGACTACTCCTTAAAGTCTTAACTGTTGTGCCAAAACATGAATGCCTTTGTAAACCTCCTGACAATCAAACTGTCAAATTCTCTGTCTGATAATTATCTAAGCACAAATTTAAGCAATCTTCCTGAATGAAAACTTCATGTCCTATAAAATATGAAAATATATTTAAGCTATATTTTTCGATTAAAATGAGCATTTTTAGCAAACAAAATATGTACATGCTCGCAGTTAGCAAAAGTGCCTTCACCTATAATAAAATCTTTGTTACTTGGTCAAGGATGTGGTTTTAGAGCAGGGTTTCGTAAATCATATAGGAAAATGTACCTTTTTTTAACATACATTATTTACATAATTATCATACGGGAAAAATCAAAGCAATAAGTAATCATTGGAAATAATACAACACATTTATCATTAAATAATAAAAGTTAAAAAAAAATTAGAATAATTCTTAAGATACCAAAGTTTCATTATATTCAAGGGATCGGGATTTTATTATCCAAAGAAAGATGCAACCCATCAAAATTTATTGGCAAGGTTAGAGTTTTTGCGGACAATCAGACAGACAGACGGGGACTTGAAAAACAACACCTGATACCCTGTATCTCAAATAAATAAATGTTAGTACAAAGGAAGGTCCATTTTAGAGTCGTGGTAGAAGTTTCGATTAATTTCCTGTAGTTTGAAGCTAGAGAAATGATTTGTGGTGATAATGACAATTGAAATGCAGTTGGTATTGACATACACAGGCTAAAAAAGTTCAGCATTCCAGAATTGAGTATACATGTAAGTGCTTTAGAATCAATTGCTCTTATGTCTCCTAAATCGAAGATTCGGGGATATGTATTTTGCCCTATCCGTCCGTCTGTCCGTTTTTCTGTTAGTCTTAAACCTTGTCCATAACTTTGGAGTGGGTGGGGCTTTGTCTGTCATATTTCAAAGGTGTATTCCTTGTGGCAAGACCACTTTTGCAGACATACAACAAGAAGGTAACCCATTTTTATATGTATACTAACAGAAACAAGAAAAATGTCATGGATGCATAGATGCCTGTGTGTGGCAGACTATTTGGAGAATTGTGTTTGTGGTGCAAGATGTCAACGATTCAAGTGGTTGTATTTATCATAAAAGGAAAGGAAATGGTAAACAAAAATTTTATTCTAATGCATGATTTCTCAGCTTGATAACATCTGATGATCCTAGATATAAGACGAGTTACACTGTAATGCCAATGTATCCGATAAAAAATGTTAAAATTAATTGAAAATCGGCATTAAATGTACATGGAATATTTAAAATAATTAACACTCGTGTTTTCTCTCTCTTCTCTCTGTTAATGCGTATGTAAATATATACTACATATTAAAATTAGTTTAATTTGACGAGAAATTTGATGATCTAACAGTTAAATTCACATAAGGTTCTGAAAACATATTGATTAAAGATGAGTTTAAAACCATTTCATAATTGGTGCACGAGCACTTGACAACACGTTGCGATATAAATGGTTTATCTTCGAATTAGGTATAGAATATACGTTCAAAAAGCTCTAATATACTTCATAAATAATATATATTTTTTCTTTTGGTATATATATATATATTGGACTGAACATCAATCCAATGCAGTGTATACTGAAAGAAAAAATTAAAGAAACATAGTAAGTTTTGAAATAAATTAGAGCTTCTTTTCGAACTTATATTACAGGACTGTTATCAAAAATTTAAAACCCCATATAAGAGCAGATTTATACAGTAATTTTGTATACAATTTACACTGTCACTGTGTACAAACGACAAATGTTTATCTAGATAATCAAGGTTTTGGATTGTTGGTTATATAATGCAAATCAAGATACTGCATATCATCATTTCGTGATAGTTTTATTGATATGATGACGACAATTCCATGTTTATCTACCTTCATTATAGTGCTTCCAGATTGCATTGATGCACTAAGCGACTTCATAAAAATTTCCATACTGTTTAAATTTTGATGCTTTTAGGGACCATATGCTGACATTAAAATTTATGAAAAATGAGTATTTAAATATGCATTTTTAAATAAAATTTCAAAATATTTTGTCTTAATTTTTTTTCTCTTACTTAATGAATGAAACCTAATATTAATGGTAAAAGATCAAATAAAAGGGACTTATTTAAATCTTCTCTCGATTTGCAAGTTTTGTTGCATAGATTAAATACATATTGGTGAAAACGGAACACTGATAAAATAAATAATATATGTCAGGGCGTCACCCGCGTGGCTTAGTTGTTAGAGTCTCTGCTCTAGAGTCGCAAAAATTAAAGGTGTTGGTCCGTACGCCGCGGATTTGAATAACATTTCTGGATGTGGAGACTGGTCCATCGGATGAGACTGTATAAACCGAGGTCATATGTCGCAGAAGGTGTTGCCACGAAAAAGATCCCTCACTGTTCAATGGCCCAGAGTGACAAAGTTTGCAGCTCTCCACCGGTAAATGGTGGCGTTTCCATATGAGTGAAAAAAAATCTTGAGAGGGACGTTAAACAACATGCAATAAATAAATATATGTCGGGGAGGATATCAAAAAGAGTGTTCTTTGTAGAAAAAAAAAACAGGAATAGACACTTGTTGGCCACGATTGAGAGAATTTTCATGATATTGGCTTTATGATACTTACCATGCGTACCCATAGTAATTATACAAAGTAAATCATAAATAGAATATGAAAATGGATAGCTATCATTTACGAAGGGGTTATTAAGTTTAATTACTGTAAAGAATTGGGAAATCTTTCATCAATTGGAATAATTACATTTGAGAAACACGCAACACAGTTAAGGTTACAGTAAGGAGGCGGGAAATGTTTACTATGACGTCACACAAAATATAAGGTCTTGAAAATACCACAAAATGAAATTATTTGCTATTTCAAACAGCTGGATAGCTGTATACTACATAAAAACGTACTATTACATGCAGTTTTGTCGTTTGATAAATCCCACACAAGAGTCTGTAAACGATGCATCGATCGCAATGCACTTGTCAATGTGACGTCATCTCGCAAAAATGACGCAGTTTGTACACAGTGAGAGGCTGATCAAGTCACGTTTTGTACAATAAAAAATGTATTTTGTTTATAAATAAAATATTATTTGCAGTTAAATAAAAGGCCGTTAACTTGGATGCGATTTGTCTATTTAAATATTTTATTTATAAACTTTCCATGTATTCTCCAGTGATACTGCCGTGTGTTTGTATGCAGATTCATTGAAAAAGTAATGGAAGGGCTCTAATAAATCGGTTTATTGCCAGGGCATACTCTTAATGTATCTTGTCAAATTTTTACACATAAACTCAAGAAGCATTAAGATATTTGAAAAGTGCTGCTAACCTCATGAAATCTTGCAAATAAATTAGTTATAGTTATATTTAATGTAGTTGACCAGCAAAATATTCAACCAGCCGTTCTATTAATTAAATTTTAGCAATTAAAAAAGGGAATCTATATAGGTTCACAGCACTTTTCACAAACTACATATAGTGTTGGAGATTTTTAACTTGGTTATGCCCTTGCAATATTAGAATTTATAGATGACCTCTAAACTGCAAGTATGATTGCTTAAATCATGTGACGTCGACATCATGTGACAAGTGTAAAAAAAAAAATCTAAATGTTCCCAACATGTAGATTTAAACCATATTCCATTTTTTTTATATCAGTGAAGTCCTAAAAAAAGTCGCCCATCCTAATAAAGCATATGTTTTTCAACTTAAAAAAACGCCGATATTTCCATTTGTAACCTTAACTGTACTTCATTTATACCAGGAACAATATATACCAGATACAATTTATACGAGCCAATCAGCATTAAATATATGCACGGGACATGCATACTGCAGATAACCTAAAATACTTTGATCGATCGGCGATAAATACTGTAGGTTAAAGGGAGATTTATATTAGAAGCAAACATTAAATGTAACATAACGGTCATCTGTTTATGAACGACCACATTTTAAATGAGGTAAGCTTGATAAAGAGACCCATATTGCTTACATAATTTCAATAAATTTATCCTTAATTAAAAGAAATTAAACTAATGAAGATTATTTATTTGACTTAGTATTTTAAAAAAAATCTATCGCAGTTTAATCTGTCTATTCTCTTAATTATTGAATAACAACATTGATTTGATTATTGTGTGAATTTTAAGTAGAATTATTTTAATTCATATTTTATCAAAATTGGTACAAATCATTGTATTTTCCATAGTGTAAACGGCGAAAAAAAAACCAAGTAGTAATCAATGTTATAAATTCTGTAAACAACTTATTTTCATTATTTATAACTAAAATTTCTCTTAAACTGTTAAATGATATTTGTCAAGTTCATATCATTTTAAATCTTTTTAATCGGGCATCTTAACGAAAGATAACTAATGTAAAACATTTCTAGCCAATATACTGATGTATATACAATCTTGTCAGAAATGGACAGGGATGCTCAGGATTTCGTCAATTGTGAAGCCTGCAGGAACCCAGCTGAATACTGGTATTATTGCAATGCATGTCATCGAAAACTTTGTCAACGAAATGATTGTCTCAATCCACATCGAGGAGAGGGACATAACGTTGTCCGATTCGAAAGCAGAATCCGCCAAAATAAACAGGAAGAGCTTTTTTACGAATTATGCCACATCCATCCTGATAGAATTCTCAATAGCTTCTGCAAATCATGCAACCAAAGTGTCTGCGATAGATGCGTTCTTCTGAAGCACAGAGATATGAAACAACATGTTGTTATAGCAGTAGACGAAATTATTGCCGAAAGGCGTCAACTAGTGGACAAAAATACAGAAATTCTGAGACACAATGTTCTCCCAAGATATGTACAAGAAATCCATGAATTAAAAGAAGAAATTTCCAATTTAGAAGGAGCTTACGATGTGAAAAGAAACATAATTCAAAAAGTATACCAGTCATGGCAAGATGAATTGAAAACTATAGTTGATCAAATCTTGGCAGACCTCAAATACTTAGAGGAGTTACATTTGAAACGTTTGAATGTCCAACAAGAAAGCCTTCAGAAAACATTAGTTCAGATAGAGGACTTCGTTGAAGCAAACGAAGAGCTTTTACAATCACCATCACCATTAGCAGTCAAGGAAGTTCGAAGCATCGATGATTACCTTGAGTTTCCTGAAATAACCAAGTTCAGTCTCCCAACATTTTCTGTGGGAACACTCCCTGCATTGCGTGATGCTTTAAATAGAAAAAAGACAATAATTTATTCCCCTAGATACAGTTTATCTAAAGAGGAGCTTTATGGAAAATCCTGTATTGTAATGGCAGAGCTCAGTGGACTAAAAGAAGAAATTCAAAAGGGAGAGAAAATTCCGACAGGACTCAAAACTGAACTGAATCTTTTTACTGCCATAGAAGCAGATAATCATTATAAAATCGATGACATATGTTGTCCTTTTATTGATGCTGCTTGGTTGTGTGATAGAACTGCAGCGAAAATCTCAAAAATTTCAGAAAGTGGAAAATTGATAGAAGAAAATGAAATGGAAAACTTAGGGTATATAGCAGGGCAAGCTACTGACCAAATATTTTATACAAGTGAAGATAAGAAGTTATTGAAATTAACAAAGAATGTTTCCCAAGTTGTATCTAACTTTGAATGGGTCCCTTTTGGTCTTTCGGTTACAATGGCGAAAGATATTTTGGTATGTGAACGCATTGAAACGAGGGGAAGAGTGGTGAAATATAGCAGCAAGGGCCATCAGCTAAAAATAATCGAACGATGCCAAGGGGACCCTGAACACATCTTCCGAATGCCAGAACGAGTTATAGAAAACAGCAATGGTGATGTGTGTGTAACAGACAACTGCATCCCAGCGTCTCTTGTTGTTGTGAACAGCTTGGGTAAATTCCAATTTCGTTATACGCCTGATGAGAATGAGACGGATTCTTCCACGACATGGTTTTTCGGAAGAAGGGAAAGCACACCATCTTCATTTAACGGACTAGCAAGTGATAAATTTGGGAACATTCTTATTTCTGTCAAGGAAAAGAACTTTATCCATGTACTAGACAAATGGGGAAGTTTCCTAAAATTTTTATCCAGCAAGCAAATTATGAACCCCAATGCCTTAGCAATTGATAATCTACAACGATTGTGGATAGCTGATGGAGAAAACCAAATCAAGATAGTTGTCTATTTAAACTGTTAGATTTTATATATATATTTTCAAAAGAGAAAGAGGGTTTGGATTGTACACAGCCAAATATACTGTATACATATATTTTATATATTATACTTGAAAAATGGTAACATTAATATTTGTATTAATTTTTTTTATTCTCAGTATACTAGTATAAAGATACGTTAATCGTTTAGCCAACATGCCATGATCATCTTGCATATGTATGAAGGTTCGCGCGCATGCAAAACGTCCAATTACATATAGTTGATATCATAGTAACTTTTTTATTAGCTCACGTGAGCCGAAGGCTCAAGTGAGCTTTTCTGATCACATTTTGTCCGGCGTCCGTCTGTCCGTCTGTCTGTCCGTCTGTCTGTCTGTCTGTCTGTCTGTCTGTCTGTAAACTTTTCACATTTTCATCTTCTTCTCAAGAACCACTGGGCCAATTTCAACCAAACTTGCCACAAAGCATCCTTGGGTAAAGGGGATTCAAATTTGTTCAAATGAAGGGCCACGTCCTCATTCAAGGGGAGATAATTGGGAATTAATAAAAATTTGATGGCTTGTTTTAAAAATCTTCTTCTCAAGAACCACTGTGCCGGGAAAGATGAAACTTATAGGGAAACATCCTCAGGTAGTGTAGATTCAAGTTTGTTCAAATCATGACCCCCGGGGGTAGGGCGGGACCACAATGACCGACCAAAGTTTTACATAGAAATATATAGGAAAATTCTTTAAAAATCTTCTTCTCAAGAATAACAAAGCCATAATTGATCATACTTATATGGAAACATCCTCAGGTAATGTAGATTCAAGTTTGTTCAAATCATGGCCTCCGGGGGTAGGGTGGGACCACAATGGCCGACCAAAGTTTTTTATAGAAATATATAGGAAAATTCTTTAAAAATCTTCTTCTCATGAATTACAAAGCCATAATTGATCATATTTATACGGAAGCATCCTCAGGTAGTGTAGATTCAAATTTGTTCAAATCATGACCCCCGGGGTAGGGCGGGGCCACAATGGCCGACCAAAAGTTTTACATAGAAATATATAGGAAAATTCTTTAAAAATCTTCTTCTCATGAATAACAAAGCCATAATTGATCATATTTATATGGAAGCATCCTCAAGTAACTTGTAAATTCAAGTTTGTTTTTTTTCCTTTGTTTGTTTGTAGAATTATGTATTTGAATCGGGTTCGATATACGATTAATTTGAAAACGAGGCTTTTTGTTGCGGCCATATTGGAAGAAGTTATAGTCATCGAATAGTCATTATAGTGAATATCGTGTCAAAAATCGGTTTCATATTAGTTGTATCAAGGTAATGTGATGTATAGATTTATTTAAGAGAAGTACACGACCCGCTCTTGTAGAAATTATTCAAACAGACAATGTAAATGATAAAGTATTTGTGTATTAAATATACGCGGTGAAAACCAACAACCCCGACTGAGAACTGATTTAAAATCTAATAAGAATCGTAAGTCATGACCTAACAATCAAACTAATGACTCAATTTGAAAGTTAGAAACACGAAAACGGTGTGATTTTTATGACTTGCTTGAAATGTTGTCGGAAACTTTCCGAATCACCAATATCATATTCATAATGTAGGCTTATTTATTCCTTATTCTTGGCAGAGTTTCAAATGACAATCGAAGATTCATTTAATTAAAATTTGGGCATTTTCAGTGAAAGTTAAAAAATACTTTTAAAGTATTGTGCGGCTTTTGTCTGTGTAATGCATATAGCAAGGTAAAATTTACTTTCAATGGCTTTAATTGAGATTAAGATTTGACTCTGTCAGTTTTTCAATGCAACAGTCTTGAATTGTTATGGAAGTACACCAGGTGCATCACTTTACACAAGGAAGGAGAATCAGGAAGGATTTCTTTGCATATGTATATATTCAATTTTCTTTAAAATGTTATAGTATTAAATAAAAATAATTATGGTAAAAATGCAAGTGTTTTGTGATGTTTTAATGCATTTAGAAATAAATTTCAGCAGGTAATGGTGGTATAATCACTAGATTTAGCTACGTAGCTTGATTTACCTACTTAGCTTTATTTACCTACCTGAGGTAGCTTTATTTAGCTACCAAATAAATTTATATCTGTGAAAAAAACATTTTCCTCAGAATGTGCAGAAAAATCTCATTTTGATGCAGTGATCATTATAAACTTTGAACTCATCTAAAAACAATTCATGAAAAAATCACTAATGAAGAAATGTCTTTTACAATCAAAGTTAGTTTTGGGGCTATGTATGCATAGGCTTTGGAACCAGTAATCCCTCGTTTGTTTTTTCTTTTTTTTTTTTTTTTTTTTTTGTTTTTTTTTTTTTTTTTTTTTTTTTGTGCAAAGATAAACAATATATAGGCATTGGAAATTTGGATTGACTTTTTTTGGCTGGTTTAGTTCCCCCTCCCCCCACTTTCAATTTGCTTCGGATACCCATGGTATGACATTTGAAACAGTTACTCCTTGAATGAAATGACAGAGAAGTCCAGTTCTGGTTAAAATGAGCATATGTCTGTAATTATTCAGTCCAATGTGAAGTAATCATACTCAGCCATGCCTCACCACATGCAAAAGAGAGCTAGGACAGTTACCCAAACATTGGAATTACATGTTTTGCATTCATTTGTCCAAACGCAGCAATGTATAAGCTATATCTGCTTTGGATTGTTTTTTAAAACCTCACTAGTATAAATATTAATAGTCATTTTCTTGTGATTTTTTGTCTCTTTTTAATAAATATAAAATTTTTAAAAAATTGCATTGAAATAGGTAAATAAAGGTATCTGAGGTTGGTAAATAAAGCTACGTAGGGAATTCTACCTACGTACCTAAATCTAGTGATTATACTGAACCTGTTTAAATACAATGACATGCACATAGGCTTAAAAAATATGTTTGTTTCCTGTAATCTTACTGACCCATTCAAATTACCCTTGGGTTGTGGGAATTGCAGCTCTCCAAAAAAATTATATTACAGACTGGAGAGCTACAGTGCCACCAATCTAATTAAAATTAGATGTTAGATCCGCTCGCATACTCGCCACACTAACATCTAACAACATCCCATCGAGGGTCATGTCAGAGGTCAAATTCGGAACGCCTCAAGACTTATTCGCTTCAACAATATATGATGATTTTGCGAGCGGCGATTTGATTGGTTGATAGATTTGACCTCTGACGTGACCCTCAATGGGATGTTAGATGTTAGTGTAGCGAGTATGCAAGCGGATCTAACATCTAATTTTAATTAGATTGCAGTGCCACCCATTGAAAAAACTAGATTGCACACTAAAATCTTTTATTCGATTTATTTCTCCATGTTTTAAAACTCATCTCAAAATATTACTTACCGTGTATTCCCAACATATTCTTTCACTATTTCTACAACAAAATATTCAATTTTTGTTTATTACCCTCCTAGCCCTGCAATTGATATAATCAAAAATTTCGTCTTTTTATGCTGCCATTTTGGTCTGCAAGATCATTCAGTCCAACGCGCTGCGTACATATGTCAACCACAAGAATAGAGGGGTAAGAATTTTTTTTGAAATCTAGCCTTTTTACAATTGATGTAAGACTTGAGAAGAATTGATCAAGAACCCAGCGCGACTTTTTGTGTGCAATAAATACCGTATGCTGTTTTTTTCCAATAGGTGGCACTGTAGCTCTCCGGCATGTCATTAAATTTTTTGGAGAGCTACAGTTCTAAAGGTATATTATAAGAGAGAGAGAAAAGAGTCCAACTTTTTTGTTGTGTAAGTTTTCACTTAAGAAAATTTTAAGTGAAAGGCTAATGTAGTAATATGAAGAAATTCGGTTAAGAAAACAATGAACCTCATTCACCCCCTTTACTTAATAGGATTCTTAACTTTTTTGATCTTTTGCCATAACTTTCCAACCATCGGAGATAGAGACTTCATATTTGGTATGCATACTTTATTAATTAAGTTCATACAAATGACACAAAGGTCAACGACCTTGTGACCTTGACTGTAAACTATATGCTTATATATTGTTGCCAACAGGCACATTAGTGTTTAACAATTACATCTAATTTTATGGTCATAAGCAACCTTACAGTGCATGTAAATGTGATGTCATTAAGAACAAAGTGAAAGAAAATGTAACCTTGGCTTTTACAATGAGATTCAGTAGGACTTGGGAAATGATGGTCACACCCAATTGTTCTACTCGGAAATGTATCAAAATATAAATTTTAGCTTATATCGTTTGTTAACATAGAATATAATTTACTATACATGTATAGGAATCACCTTGTCCTTCTGTCTGTCCGTCTGTTTAGCTGTCTGTGCAAACGTGTCCGGTCCATTTCTTTTTTATGGAGGGACATTAGAATCTACTACTCCACACAAAGATTGCCCATGACCTAAGGGTGTGTCATGACCTTGACCCAAGGTCATTTGGGGAACTTCAAGGTCACTGGAAGAAAAATTTCATAATTCGTGTCCGGTCCATATCTTTCTTATGGATAAAATTGGTAGGTTCTCATTTCACACAAAGATTGCCCATGACCTAAGGGTGTGTCATGACCTTGACCCAAAGTTATTTAAGGAAGTTCAAGGTCACTGGAAGAAAAATTTCATAATTTGTGTCCGGTCCTCATCTTTCTTGTGGATAAAGTTGGTAGGTTCTCATTTCAAGCAAAGATTGCCAATGACCCAAGGCTGTGTCATGACCTTGACCCAAGGTCATTTGGGGGAGTTCAAGGTCACTGGAAGAAAAATTTTATAATTCATGTGTGATACATATCTTTATTATGGAAAAACTTACTTCTGAAAAACCCAGCGGGGGTATTTTGTCCCGTTTGGACAGTTCTAGTATTAAATGTCATTAGGTGATATTAAAGGGTAAGCATTTAAAATTTACAAGATAAGTTTCAGGAAACTTTTATGTATAACAATTTAAAACTTGTATCAAATTGGGAAGGTAAAATAAAAATATTTCAACATTTTTTGTCATGATTGGGGAGGGATGTAACA